CAAAATTGTCATCGATCCCGATCAATTCTTTTTAAGTTTAATTAGAGGTACGATCAATTTGATTCATCTTTAAGAACTTCAGGTCAATTAAATCTAATCACGTATTTGGAAAAGATGGGGGAAATTTGTACATAATATTTGTATATAACAGTACATCTCATTTGTTTCTACATATAATAAATCGTTCCAAAACCCTTAGGCAAATGCTGGTCACCCATTAAGGCTGGGTTTCCCCTTTTCTATGTTATAACATAATATCGTTGTTTCAATATGCAATATTCATGTGTTTTTGTTACGTAAAACAGTATTCACATGTTAAGATTACCTTGAATCTAGTCGTTATGACTACAAATACCAACAAAACATATATTCTGTCTTCATATGAAGGAAAACCTTTCAGGTTTATTAGTGTTAGTCAGGGGAAAATTACTTCCTGTTTTAATGCTTAAGTAGTTTACAAATTATTTCAGACCCGTTATAATACATTCTATTCAAGTCAGTTTACAATTCATAGTAGGAGACGTTAATTTACTTTCTGTTTCAATTTTCAAATACTTTGTATACTTAACATGGTCAGTAAGGTGGGATCATTTCCTTATCTACACCCTGTCATAGACTGTACTGATCCATATACATGTACCTCTATTTTCTATAAAAGTAACAATGTCTTATTCAGTGACATGAAACACCTCTTCTTCATATTATTTGTTGTGAGAAAGTGGAATTCATGTAATATTCCAATGATATAGGGTCGTGGCAATATATACCACTGTTACAACACAGACTGGTGATGATAACTACCCGAGGAGAGGACATCACAACCAGAGGTCATATGACGTCAAAGAAGGACGTAAGACCCTGATAAAACATAAACATTTAGTGGTTTACTTACCTGAGTAGAGACACCAAACTAACACTGACACAATCCACACAGCAGACATATTGACGGTGTGTTTTAACCCGGAACATGTTCTGAATGTAGATAAGCTACCCTAGGTATAAATCTGTGACAGCGACCTGTACGTGTTGTTTACTGTTATATAAATCTATATTTAGATCACATAGAACTCTACAATGTATTGCGTTATATATTCTTGTGAATTTTACAATTGTATTTTTTTATATGAAAAATACGAAATGATACATTGTTTGATAACATTAACAAAATAGGTTGATATTGATATTGAATGTAAACCATGCATCGGTCGATGAATACTTGTGTCTCACTTAAAATATACGGTTTGCCTTATTGACCGTTAGCCTGCCCTGACGTATAGAGTACGCTTGATAACGCGTCCATATATGACAAAGCTGTTTCAAGGACGTGAAACATAAAACAAACAAACAATAAGATTATATAGTATATGCAGTCAATTCGATTGTGTATTTACGTTTTATATTTTAAACATATTATCACTCTAACCTGTTCGGCAACGACCAACAGTTTGAATTCATGTATCACTGCTGTACACGGGTACATATACAATGTAGGTGTGTTTACTCACCTTGTCACTACAATGTACGGTACATCTGTAATGTAGGTGTGATTACTCACCTTGTCACTACAATGTACGGTACACCTGTAATGTAGGTGTGTTTACTCAACTTGTCACTACAATGTACGTAACAACCCGTAAAGTAGGTGTATGTATATATACAGATATTAAATGTTAACTAGCCAACTCACTAAAATGTACGGTACACCTGTAATGTAGGTGTGTAAGTATGATTACTGTTTCACTACAAAGCTTGGTATACCTGCATAGCTTTGCCTTTATTGTTGAAACGTGATAATGACTCTGAATATTCTGATTAATGTATGCGGTGTACACAAATTGATGTAATTGATGAACTTAGCTATACACCCGACAAATATTACATCAAGCATATTTAAAAAACAGAAAGCAACTTAAACACTCTTAACTATAATAAGTGGTATTTAAATGTGTCTGTATATACATGATTGTAGGGTTTTTTTTAGAAAATATTTAACTTTAAAAAGTTGTCCCTCAAAGTCCCAATAGTTTTGCCTTCAAGCCGTCTTCAAGGACGTTGACTATTGCCATTGGGATTATGAGTGATAACTGTTTTATAATTTATCTTGTTTTGCATATAAAAAACCCATCTGCGTTAAGTTTTAAAACTGCTGAAATAGAAATATCATTTTTTAAATAATTAATTGTTACATTTTAATATCTGTAAATATAGAATTATTTATGCATTATCTTTTTAATAACAAATTACCGTATGTCAACAATCACTAAACAGGTTCCGAATGACAGTCAGTTTTCACGCCTTAATGTTTCAGAAAGTGACGGAAAGTAATCAAGGGGAACATAAACGAAATCATATAATAGATACAAACTTACGGACACATACATATATTGCGTTAATGTACTTACCGATAGTGTACTTAACTGTTTGATTAACACAACAACACCAATTCTACATTGATATATGTATTATTCATTTACAAATCAAAACTGCAATACGTATGATAAGGTATAATACTTTTTGCAATGCATATGTTAACATCTTACACAACTTACAATAAAACCACTGAAAAAGTTTTTTTAAAGTATTGCTATGAACACAGTGACATTAAATGAAAGTATGAACTTAACAATGTTATAATTTACTACTATTCTCTACTCAAAATCTCCAAGTCCGTCCACAGTTACATCCCCAGCTGTGTAACTGCTGGTTGATTACATAAGCAAAATAGTATGCATTATTAATAACCATATTTAACCGACGAAAACATTCTAAACAGGACAATAATTTATAATACAAGAAGATTATTCAAGTTAATTTTGCCAATTCAACTATTTACACAACTTATAAATAAATATTACTTAGTGCTGTCATCAGATTATGGCACATCGTCCCGGTCTTGGCTTTACATATGCTGATACCTACCGTCAGTATTGGCCCTGACAACATCGGTATAGTCTTAATACAACCACTCATATAACAATTTTGTATATGAGGTTACTTTTTTATATCGATTTTATTGCCATTTGCAGATGATTTGGCATTATCAACTCATTAGCAAAGTTAATAGCTAAAAGGTTATGAATATGTCTGTATTCTTGCTTAAACATATATAGAAATATTTTGGAGTTAGCACTTAACTATAAATGTAATTAATCAAAGAAGTTATGGTTTTTAGGTATATTTGCAGCCTTATTTTAAGTTGCATTATTAATTCTTCATAATCTTGAATACCGTAAGAGTATGGTTTTGTTATAATGTATATAGGATCTAACATAACTGTCCATGCCCTTAGATCTATAAAACGAGTCTAACTTTTTCTTTTCAGCGATTCGCAGGCAAGTTTCATCAATCTAATAAGTAACGGAAACACATTTTAGATCCCTTTATTACATGATCAAGACTGTTCGTGAAAATTGCCAAAAGAGGATTTTCTTAGGTCATTACTGAAGTTTAACATTTTGTCATTTTATCTCATTTGCATCATAATATATAAGAGTGTGCAACGTCATTTGATTATCATTTGATGACGTCACAATAGTTGATATTGCAGGAGTTAATAAGCAAACAAAAAACTATGGGTATGGTGATTGAATAAAACGGCAATTAAAATGATAATAAATGTTTATGGACTTATAATTATTTTGACATTAATTATGGTGTATATGATGTGATATTCACATGTAAAAGTAATATAAACAAAGTCGAAGACGAGTCCAATATAACAGTACAATACTCTTTAGGTTCATACCATCACAAAAGTTAATAATAGTTTTTTATAGTTTGACTCACTAAAAATGTATTAACGTATAACGGGATGCCGGAATAGATGTACTGTGTATTATCAGCCAGTTTCTAATAGTCAAAGGGAGGCAACCACAGCTTACACGGTTGACCATACACCACAACACGATGAAACAATAAATTATTGTAAAACATATTAGTTTACACTGGACTGAACGGTCTGGTGCAGATGGTCAAAATATATCATATATTTAACTGCTTACTAAAATTCCGAAAGTGGCAATATTACCTAGTTACTTCATGCTGAACTGGTAGTTGTATTATATTTATCATTTATGGTCTTAAGCTGGGGGTGATTATATGGTTATTTAAACATGAGACAGTTTTATTGACCGACACGAAGTCGAAGTCAATATCACTCTTCAGGGCTATATAACCATATATTTACCGAAATGAAAGTCTTGATTTATTATATTTGATGCTAAACAATGTTTAACTTGTTTAACAAGATGAAACGTATGACATGTGTACGGAGGAAGATGCTGCATTTGGCAGAGAACACTGTGACGTTACCATTGAAATGACGTGTTAAAGTGAAAACTGTTCCTAAAAATAGCAACACCGAGTTAGTATAAAAAGTCACCGACCTTCACTTGATTATGATCCCAACCCATGCGGATATAGGGAAAATGTTTCATCTCACTTGAATATTGTCAACTGACAATTTATCCGTGCAATATAACTTAAGACGGTTTAGTCTCGCCTTGCTTGCATACATGTCTATTAAGGCTGTTTCAAAATGGTGTAGGTGGTAATAATAAAAAGTATTATTAAGAGATTATGAATATTTTAACCAATAAATATATGTGTTCGATTATCATTGTAAAAAACTATAATGACATGTGGTAGTAAAACGTATATGTATATTGAAAATTAAAAAGGACACGTGCGTTTTAAATATATATTAGAAGTCACAATAAGTAAGTATTTTACAATCCTAGTTATTATAACATCATAGCTGAAATGTACTAGCTGCCTGCATATTATTCCAATCTTTAATTATTTTTGATCGGAAATATTCCCTACGAAACGGGCGAAATATAATTAAAGCTTTACCAACGTGTTGTTCCCCTATATAAACTATAGTAAAGTTTAGAACAAACACTCCAAGGGTAGTAGCAATTAGGTTAATGCACCTAAGGTTGTTCCAATCGACGAAAGAAAGTTTTTTTGTTTATCCGAGTGTGGATATATTTTTTTTATTTTTTTTAGCAATTTTTATCTTAACTAAGTTTAAATTACCCGCTGGAAATGGAAATATACCCGAAAGTACTGTTTCCCTTTATAAACTACGCTAAATGTTACCCCTCTTCAATTAAAACATAAACTATATTTATTTTAGGACAATTATGAAACAAGTTAATTCAACTTATATTAATCAATCTTGTTGGCCCGGGTGTTAGGGTGGGAGTAACTGGAGTACCCGGAGAAAACTCATGTTGTCGGGCAGGTGACGCCGAAACGTTCCACGTTCGATCGGGGAATCAAACCTCGGTCGCCTTGGTGAAAGGCAAGTGCGCTATCCACTACACCACCCGACCACCCCGTGAGAAGGGTTGCCCTTTGGTTCTAAGCAGGGACCCCACTTTTACAATTTGATACCCTCTTCCACCAAGGGTTATCCTGACTAAGTTTGAAAACAAAACAAATACTGGTTCTGCAGAAGAAGTCTACAAATTGAAAAATGTACGCACGACGACAAACAAAAGGTGACCTAGTTAAATATCAATATCGTATTATTGTCCTCTGTGTTGCGTTTTATTTTCATAATACTGAATATTTGAAACTTAAACATGAAAAAATCAACTCGCTATAGTTACACTTTGCGATACTTACATTTTTAGTGATAGATCAAGTGTCAAAAAGTGACCTTTTAGCATTGCTTCAAATACACATCATTTCGGATATTCAAATGGCTGCCGAATAAAGTCTTTTATTTTTCATTTGAGAAAAAAATAGTTCTGTAAATACATACTATAGGCATGTCGTTTATTTACATATTTTCGGTTGCATGTATTCGTGTAAAATTGATCATCAGTTGTTTAATTTTATATAAACCGTCACACTAGATCAGAACGTGATTTGAACCTGAACGAAACCTGAGATGAGTGCATCCTTAAATTATGCAAATGCCTTTTTATCTATTCCTTTTTCATATTCCATTTTTCCTTTATATAACAATGCAAAAGTAAGTATTTTGGAAATTAATTGGCAAAACATGACTACAAATAATAGTAAAAATAAAAGCAAGGCAGAGATATGTACGACATAAATATTAAACATGATATATAAATGTCTATGCACTATGTATACATATTTTGAAATTAATTAACCAATTGGTAAAACAAATATACATAAAAAGAATGTTCGACAAAAACATTAATATCACATCCATATTGATGCAGTACCACATGAAACAACACGGAGTTGATATTGATTTGAGCCCTCGTCAAAATATCCGCGATGTTAACCTGTTTGATGCAGCATGACCTCCACTCATCCTAGCGTGATGTCAGTGATTGTAAATGTTTCATCATAATCTGTTGTTCTTAACGCTATGTCCCACCACTAGATGTGTTCCCTGTGAAGGCCATGTTGACGTAGGACCTGGTATGACCTACAACAGATAATCACAAATAAATTCTATTACTGAAGTATTGACTTACATTGAATGATACAAATCCAATATATGTCATTTCAATACTGAATTGATGACCTAGAAATGTTGCTTAAAATTCCTCCTTCTCATAACTTAATTAAAAAGATATACATTCTGTTTGTTCCTTACTCGAGTGTGTTGATCCACAATGGAAAGTGTTGTTGTAACGTTCATACTTCTACAGTAAGAAAATAAGTGGTCCATTTTGATGGTTTATAAGTTCTGTGATGTCACACCGTTAACACTGAACATCTCTATCTAGTAGTTGACTTACCGTCCTCTGTTCAATGTACCCCGTCAAAAACACTGAATATCTCTATCTAATAGCTAACTTACCGTCCTCTGTTCCATGTACCTCGTCATAAACACTGAATATCTCTATCTAGTAGTCAACTTACCGTCCCCTGTTCCATTTACCTCGTCATAAAAACTGAACATCTCTATCTAATAGCTAACTTACCGTCGTCTGTTCCATGTACCTCGTCAAAAACAATGAATATCTCTATCTAATAGCTAACTTACCGTCCTCTGTTCCATGTACCTCGTCATAAAGCCTGGGCGCGGACTTCTCTTTTATCATATCATCATTTCTGTAACACGAATGAGAGAGTTAAAACAAACGGGTATCATCGGATATTATATTTATAGGATAAAGACTATTTAATGGAATACACAACAAACTACTAGTAAGGTTGAAAAGTAAGTTTCAACACCAGATAACTGACAGTGTAGTATATACGGATGACGTTTGACGTGTGTGTTTCAGAGAGTGTAACATCCGTATGTTGTTAAGGTATTTAATCCAGCTTACCTGTCTAAATAGCCTTTCTCACCTACAACAAAAGGACATCGACATCAATACTCAATATCTCTTTTGTGGGATATTCGTTTTCAATTAACAAATTCCTTTCTTATGTATGTGAAACCTAAATTCAAATCAAAGAGATTACAAGGTCAGTATTCTATGGTACTTAAAGCTTATCCAAATAAAGTAAAAATAACATTTAAAACCGTGTACGTGCGGTGATAGGGATATATGCAGCATACATTACACATTCATCATACCAAATTGTCCTATATACAATTATACATGATAAAAAGTCCATTTAAATGGATTAACATATTGATATCAAGACATGATTTTAATTAAGAATTTATAAACTTTCGACGATTTTTAACTGCACATACACTTGCATGCTACTTTAGGTAACGGCATACACAGACATCACCTTACCGTTAGGAGGTTGTCCGAGCGCCTGATACACAGTTGGTCCGGCGATATCAGCCGAGTCTAGATGTTGGTATCGAGATCTGTTGAGACATCAATTTCAATGTTTTCTTCAACCTGTAACTATTAACCTTATAAATACTTAACACGTTCCGCGTTATAACTTATGTTATTTAACGTAATAAATACAAAAAAGTGTACATTACAACTCCTCTAAAATGCTCATTAAGTGGACGTGCATTATTTATTTAGAAAAACTGGAAAATAAGACGTCCCGAAAATAATATTAAGTAAATTGTGTAGTAGTAATTGAAGGTGTTTTGAACAATAACAAGAAACGTGAATAATTATATTATCACTCTTCTCGCATACGTTGTATCTGAATTATCGAACGAGAGAGGACCTACTTGACAATGTGTTGATATATGATAGCATTACCTTTCGTCTTCATCCTGGATTGTACTTACTGAAAAATAAAATTCATTCTTGATCAAAATTTCATTTAAATCGAATTTTTATGCCAGTTAAAATGATATTTTAATGGGGAGTAATTAAGTGATTAATTACCTCGGGTTAGTTTTACAGGGGAATACTACATTTTTACATAAGGAGGTGTTGTGAAAAGAAACTGTAATTCGAGAACGATAATGAAGGAGGGAAGATTAACATAAAAAAGGTACAAAGTGAATAGAATCTTGTGTTCCGGATTGTAAGCGACTTCTGTTTAATAAACGTGAATCTTATATCACATCGTCATAGTGAGAGTGTGGTGTTAGTGTAGTCAACATAATCACAATGAATACTATTGAGCAAGAGAAAGGCACTGAACTCATATCACATCTCTCGATACAATGTTTTGTTAGTTTCTCTGTTTGTAAACTGTTAGAAAGTTATATATATGTGCAATGTAAGTAACAGATGACAGGTGAGCGCCAAGTTGCTGTTAAAGGAATGGCAAATCTTATTCGTTCGTCATCTTACAAGAACAACATTCAAATGTATCTGCCGTTTACCTGAATGATGCACTCTTTGAAAGTGAGTTGATTCCTCCATTTTTGAAATTTTGCTGGAAAGCAAAAAATGTCATTTACACACTTCATTTCTTAACAAATTCCGATAGCTGTTCTACTTACTCTTAACGTCACGATATTATGTCAGCTAGTTATATTGATTTAAAATTTCCAGATGACATGTAACCTACTGCGAAGCCTGTATCTATTCTATTTATCATTTGTCATGGAATATTGATTCTTATCTTAAATTTTCGTAAAATATGCTTTTGACATCCTTCATATATATTTTTTTCCCCCGACAAACATAACATCGATAAACGGTTGATACATTTGTGTTAGAGAAAAGGACATTTTAAGCGGAAAATAACCCGGCAGCACAGCATTCTATTATAATAGAACTATACTTACAAACAAGGCAGTCCTTTGTTACCTTAAACAAACACATCACTTAAATAGAACCCACGCAGCAAAACTTAATCCGAGTATTAATTTCACACTTCACATTCGTTTTTATGAATATTATGTTGTAGTTGTATTCGCTGTAATGATACATTTTCCTTAATTACGGAGAACGAGAAAAAGGAAAATTAAATTTGGGCGAAAATTTCCCGATATAATATGATCAATTTAAATATAGAGACACTTTACTCGCGTATTTTTAAAATTTATTTGGACACAATGTACTGCGTAGGAAAAATGAAAAAAATAACATGTTTTACCACTTTCCGGGAACTATTAAGCCGACATCAAATAAATTAACTTACAAAAATCCTTAAAAATCATGTTCATCGGACTTTGAATATCATGATATCGCGAAGGCCTTGCGTGTAATAAGATAAGCACACTATATAATTTCCAGGATTTTCAATGATATACTCACGACCAATGAATATCCCGAGTACGACTGTCACTATCAGCAGGATCACCAATACACACAACATCACAACACCAGCTGTGTACAGGCGTGTTGAATCTATATGAATATACAATCTACGTTTTAGTATAAAACAATTTATACCTGTCCACTTACAAGAAGAACATCTCCGTAGAAAAAAGCCAAAGATCGTATTTATAATGGAAAGCAAAAAGGTCATTTTATATCGACCTATGTTGTTAGAAATCAAATTACTTGCAAGATGTAAGGAAATGAGAAGAACAACTTACTGTGCAACTTTTCCGAATATTTCCTATAAGAAAATCATTTGGATCCTTAGCGCCATTATTTGTCTTGGCTTTCTGTTACCACGTCTTGTCGGGGGGTTATATATGTTTATACTTACCTCGATCGTCGGTCTCTGTTACTACGTCCTGTCGGGGTTAACATATGTCTGTACTTACCTTGATCGTAGGTCTCTGTTACCACGTCCTGTCGGGGGTTAACATATGTCTATACTTACCTCGATTGTCGGTCTCTGCTACTACGTCCTGTTGGGGGTGTATATATGTCTATAATTACCTCGATCGTCAGTCTCCGTTACCATGTCCTGTCGGGGTGTATTTATGTTTATACTTACCTCGATCATCGGTCTCTGTTATCACGTCCTGTCTGGGGTTTATATTTGTCTTTACTTACCTCGATCATCGGTCTCTGTTATCACGTCCTGTCTGGGGTTTATATTTGTCTTTACTTACCTCGATCGTCGGTCTCTGTTACCACGTCCTGTCGAGGGTTTATACTTGTCTATACTTACCTCGATCGTCGGTCTCTGTTGTCGTCGGTATAGTGGAAGGGGGAGTTTCTGTAACAAAGTACGTGCCAAATCATCCCATATTTTCATACGTCAAGCAGTGCCCAGTAAACCAAGCGTCCTCCACTATGTCTGGTTGTTATTGATTTACAGGTGCCATGAAATGTTTATTTTTGAAAGTATTCGAACTTGAATCGTTAATGTGTCAGATTAAAATCAGTGTTGGGTTTCATACAATGGGTGTTTCCATCATATTACATTACGTTTAGAGTCCTCTCTCTAGTGGAATATATTTCAATCACAAATAAATCACATTACAGGCAGTGTATCAGAGTTGCCTCCCTTATAACGTTTGAGTATTCAGGGTTTTTCCCATTCTTTTATTGTATAATAATATGATTTCACTATCCTCGACTCCAGGGGTTACGCTCACTTGCAATCATATAAACATACTCCAGGAGTGCAGGTGAGCACAGAACATTAGAGGGCGTAACCAATTGAATTTCGAGGATTTGGTAGTATATTCTCTACAAGCAACAACTGAAAGGAATGACGGCCCAGCATCATCAACTTATCCCTCATAAATAACGATTTTATTGACATTACTTCTTTGTTACACAGACATGTTCCGGTAGCATTCTTAGCATCACTTTGCTAAACCCTTTGGGATTTAGTAATATAAACCCTTCACCATATCGTTAATTCATATTTATAGTTATATAGTGCAGCGTTAAACTGGCATCACTGTATTATCTAGTCCTACCTATGGTAATGTCGACTGTACTGGACATGTTGTACGTGTTCCCGTTAAAGTTGTTCGTGGCCTCACAGACATAGTCTCCTGATTGGGCAATCTTGATGTTGGTCAGTTGAAGCTGTGCTGAGGTGCCGACTTGTGTTCCATTAACCCGCCAAACATACGTAGGAGTAGGGTTACCCTCAGCAGCACAGGTCAAGGTCAAGGTGGTGTCCTCGTAATGAACTGCTTTATTTGGACTCTTTGTAATGGTAGGCGCTCTCACTTTGTCTGTTTGACGTAAAACAACATTAATCATGTACAACTTAAGATACGAATAAAGAGCTAAGAGACAACCTTAGTATGCTAATATTTCTTTCATCTGAACACCTTAATATCAACGAATTATTTTCTTCATTTGTCACAGTAATTTATATTATTTCCCTTTTTACTGTTATCAAAAGGAAAAAAGATTTTGGTCAAAATCACCCAATACGTTCGCCATAACAAAATACAACACCATAAAGAAACTTATTATAATTGATAACCAAATAATAATATAAACATTGACTTACAAAACACGTTGATGACATTAGTTAGTTTAAAGTAGGCGGTGTCTCTGGGGTCGCTGATGGTTTCCTGTTGTAAGGCACACTTAACAACGATACCATTGTCGTCTTTGGTCATCTGTATAGAGATGACACTACTGCCGGTGTAGGTACAGTCGGCACTAGGGGATGTCTGTGTGGTAGAGTCTATGGGGGTACCGGTACCGTCTATGGTACTACTTAACCTGGTCCATAAGAAGTTCCCTGCCGGCCGACCAACATTACCGGTACAAGTGAACGTGACCGTCTGTCCCTCCTCAACATTAGATGACGGCACCAATTCCACTTCATGAAATGTTCTGGCGTTAGGCTTTGCTGTGTACATGGTAATAATAGGTATGAGTACATGTAATAAATTGCACTTTCTTTGAGAATCGCATGTTCACGAGTAGTTTGGGAATGTATTATCTGAATAAAAAAACATGTTAGCATGATGGGAAGTAGGTCACACATGTAGGTAAATAAGAACTTGTGAGGTATTTCAATACAGCTTACTTTCCATACAAATATAGCGCACGACGAAATAAGTTTCTTGTGCGATATCATGTTAGGTAGAGTAGCCCCTCTTTATGTTTAAGTTCTTCAAGCAATATCTCAAGTAGGGGCAAGTTGTGATATAAGAGGTAACAGAAATCAGTATCAAAGCGTTCCATAGACAACTGTAGCACTTAATCCTAATGTTTAAATTTGTTGACAAATAAAATGCTTTGTTGTGTATATTGTTTCGATTATTAGAACTCGTAGTAATAAAACAGATATCATTTAAGACCTAAAACACTTACAACATGAAATTTGTCTTTGACACACGACTATTACAAATATGAAATATTAGATGATGATGAAAAGAATGATATGAACCCACATTGTCATACCTACGACTATAAGACTGTTGACGCTTGCCGGAGTCGGATTGGCCTGTGCATCATTGTTTAGTCCAAGTACAGTACATTGGTATTTACGCTCATCACCACATACCACACTTATAAATTTCATCTTGGCCGTGAGAGAGGAATATGTTGGGTTTGTTAGAACTACTCGTCCAGTAACGGAAGGGTTGGTTAAATTGTTTAACGTTGCAGGACGTTGTGATGCTCTTGGTGGACTAAACCCTGCTATTTGTTCATATGTCCCAGAGTCTTTTGACGTCTCCCTTTTCCATGACATGGAAAACACTGTATCAACGGATGCAAGTCTGTATGTACACACAAGTTCCACTTCATTGTCTCCAAGAAGTCCCACTGGGTTTACTGTCGTTGTTACAGAAATATCACCTTGTACACCTGAAATGTTTAATACAATTCATAGTTATGTTAAATGTGGTTGGTATTTAATGGTATGTCTGTCAGTCCGAGCGTCTCTTATACTTACAATACACTTATCATTGCAGCAGGTACTTAGAAATATTGATGTACCATTTTGAAGAATTTATGTTCTTTTTCAATTTCGCGGTTATATTCAAATATTGGAAAGCGTTTAAAAAATGTGTTTGTAATAACGTCGTATTTATGACGCACGCACGCATGCATACTATTTCACAGGGATATACAAAGGTGTGTTTATATATATATATGTTTTAGTACCTGAGAACGTTTATGTAATGATAAGGTTGTTTACATTTGTTAATTTTGCAGCAGCCTGTGATATCCATGGTGGATAAAACAATGCTATTTGTTCATATGGGTCAGAGTCTTTTGGTGTTTCCCTTTTCCATGCTATATTATAAATTGTATCAACGGATGCAAGACTATATGTACACACAAGTTCCACTTCATTGTCTCCCAAAAGTCCCACTGGGTTTACTGTCGTTGTTACATAAATATCACCTTCTACACCTGAAATGGTCAATACATTTCATAGTTATGTAAATGTTGGTTGTATTTAATAGTATGTCCGTCAGTCCGAGCATGTATAATACTTACAATACACGTATCATTGCAGCAGGTATATACAAGTACTTAGAAATATTGATGTACGATTTTGAATTTATTTTCTATTACAATTTCCTGGTTATTTTTAAATATTGGAAAGAGTTTAAAATACTCGTTTGTAATAACGTAGTGTTTTTGACGTCGTGGAATGCGTTAACCGGATACTCAAAAGGACATACTACCTTTACCATCGACAAGATGTGTTAGCTGTTTCATGGAACATGGCCTGTCTCATCATACAATAGTAAGTCCTCCGACGCATGTCGGACGCACACACGGACGCACGCATTTATACAATTTCGCTGGGATATACAAAGGTGTATTAATTATATATATATGTGTTTTAGTACCTGAGAACGTTTATGTAATGATAAGGTCGTTTGAGTCAAGTACACGTGTCTTGTTAGGGAAAGTCCTTATGTCAATATTCTGTGTTCTGTCCGATGAGTGTTCGTAAATGTCAGCAGGTTTTTATTTCCCCTAGGAAACACGTATACATGAATATAATTGTTGTTAAAAAATCTGAAATGTACAAAAGCAATGCTTTTAGGTAAAGTTTGAGATACACTGTTATTAAAATTATGTTCCCGAAATATTTTTACATTGAACATATTTATGTAAATGATAATTTACCTTCATCGACTACTAAGTCGTGTTAGTGTTTATAGTTATATGTTCCACGGACGACGTCCAGTAAGTGTATGTCCTATAGACCCGGCTGTCTGCGCGATTCCGCGACTGTACACTTTCTCACCTGTCATACATTGATACGTACTCAGGACATCACCCTGACACTACCGGACAGGTACCCACCAAGTATGGATATACACGTCAAGTAACGGACAGTAACAGGTAACATGTACTGGACACAAATAACTTGATTTTCACATGATAATAGAAACACTGAGTTTCTTTAGTTTGATATTACTGTATGTAGTGTAAAGAAAGAGTGGAAAAGTCAGAAGTTTTGATTAATTATATGTTTTGAGGAAAAGATGTTCAGAATAGATCAAACAATCTATTGATTTCTTCAAAATTGTCATCGATCCCGATCAATTCTTTTGAAGTTTAATTCAAGGTACGATAACTTTTATTCATCTTTAAGAACTTCAGGTCAATGATATTTATTCACGTATTTGGAAAATATGGAGAAAATGTGTACATAATATTTGTATATAACAGTACATCACATTTGTTTCTACATATAATGAATCGTTCCAAACCCCTTAGGCAAATGCTGGTCATACATTAAGGCTGGTTTTTCCCTTTACTATGTTACAACATAATATCGTTGGTTCAATATGCAATATTCACGTGTTACGACTATTTGGAATATAGTCGTTATGACTACAAATACCAACAAAACATATATTCTGTCTTCATATGAAGGAAAATCTTTCGGGTTTATTAGTGTTAGTCAGGGGAAAATAACTTCCTGTTTTAATGCTTAAGTAGTTTAAAAAATATTTCAGACCCGTTATAATACATTCTATTCAAGTCAGTTTACTATTAATAGTAGGAGACGTTAATTTACTTCCTGGTTCAAATTTCAAATACTTTGTATACTTAACATGGTCAGTAAGGTGGGATCATTTCCTTATCTACACCCTGCCATAGACTGTACTGATCCATATCCATGTACCTCTATCTTTTCCATAAAAGTAACAATGTCTTATTCAGTGACATGAAACACCACTTCTTCATATTATTTGTTGTGTATGAGAAAGTGGAATTTATGTATTATTCCAATGATATAGGGTCGTGGCAATGTACCACTGTTACAACACAGACTGGTGACGCTACACACCTGAGGAGAGGTCAACACAACTAGCGGTTATATGACGTCATATAAGGACGCTAGACCCTGATAAAACATAGATATTTAGTGGTTTACTTACCCGAGTAGAGACACCAAACTAACGCCGACACAATCCACACAGCAGCCATGTTGACGGTGTGTTTTCACCCGGAACATGTTCTGAATGTAGATATGCCACCCTATGTATAAATCTGTGACAGCGACCTGTACGTGTTGTTTACTATCACATAAATTTATAAATAGATCACATGGAACTCTACAATGTATTGCGTTATATTTTCTTGTGAATTTTACAATTGGTTTTTTTCATATTAAAAATACGAAATGATACATTATTTGATAACATTAACAAAATAGGTTGATATTGATATTGAATGTAAACCATGCATCGGTCGATGAATACTTGTGTCTCACTTAAAAGATACGGGTTGCCTTATTGACAGTTAGCTTGCCCTGACGTATAGAGTACGCTTGATTACGCGTCCATATATGACAAAGTTGTTTCAAGGACGTTACACATACCACAAACAAACAGCTAGATTATATAGTCAATGCAGTCAATTCGATTGTGTATTTGCGTTTTATATTTTAAACATATTATCACTCTAACCTGTTCGGCAACGACCAACAGTTTGAATTTCTGTATCGGTACATAAGAAATGTAGGTGCGTTTACTGACCTTGTTACTACAATTTATGGGAAAACCTGTAAAGTAGGTGTATGTATATATACAGATATTACATGTTACCTAACCAACTCACTAAAATGTACGGTACACCTGTAATGTAGGTGTGTAATTATGATTACTGTTTCACTACAAAGCTTGGTACACCTGTAATGTAGGTGTGTAAGTATGATTACTGTTTCACTACAAAGCTTGGTACATCTGGAATGTAGGTGTGTAAGTATGAATTATGTTTCACTACAAAGCTTGGTATACCTGTAATGTAGTTGTGTAAGTATGATTACTGTTTCACTACAAAGTTTGGTATACCTGTAATGTAGGTGTGTAAGTATGATTACTGTTTCAATACAAAGCTTGGTACACATGTAATGTAGGTGTGTAAGTATGATTACTGTTTTACTACAAAGCTTGATATACCTGTAATGTAGGTGTGTAAGTATGATTACTGTTTCACTACAAAGCTTGGTATATCTGTAATGTAGGTGTGTAAGTATGTTTACTGTTTCACTACAATGTACAGTACACATGTAATGTAGGTGTGTAAGTATGAATACTGTTTCACTACAAAGCTGGGTATATCTGTAATGTAGGTGTGTAGGTATATTTACTGTTTCACTACAATGTACAGTACACATGTAATGTAGGTGTGTAAGTATGAATACTGTTTCACTACAAAGCTTGGTATATCTGCATAGCTTTGCCTTTATTGTTGAAACGTGATAATGACTCTGAATATTCTGATTATTGTATGCGGTGTATACAAATTGATGTAATTCATTAACTTGGCTATTCACACGATAAATATTACATCACGCATATTTAAAAAACCAGAAAGCAACTTAAACGCTTCTAACTATAATAAGTGGTATTTAAATGTGTCTGTATATACATGATTGTTTGATGTTTTTTAAGAAGATATTTAACTTTAAAAAGATGTCCTTCATAGTCCCAATAGTTTTGCCTTCTAGCCGTCTTCAAGGACGTTGACTTTTGCCATTGGGATTAAGAGTGACAACTGTTTTATAATTTATCTTGTTTTGCATATAAAAAGAACACCCATCTGCGTTAAGTTTAAACACTGCTGAAATAGAAATATCATTTTTTTAATAATTAATTGTTAATATCTGTAAATATAGAATTGTTTATGCATTATCTTTTTAATAGCAAATTACCGTATGTCAACAATCGCTAAACAGGTTCCGAATGACAGTCAGTTTTCACGCCTTAATGTTTCAGAAAGTGACGGAAGTAATCAATGAGAACACAACGAAATCATATAATAGATACAAACATAAAGCCATACACATACAATGTACTACATTATTATACTTACCGATAGTGTAATTAACTGTTTGATTAACACAACAACACCAATTCTACATTAATATATGTATTATTTATCTACAAATCAAAACTGCAATACATTGCTTAAGCCGGCAAAACATATTATAAGGCATACATCTTTCTGCAATGCTTATGTTAACATCTTACAAAACTTACAATAAAATCAATGAAAAAGCATCTTTTAAGTTTTGCTAAATCACGTTCCTATGAACGCAGTGACATTAAATGCCTAGCTGATATATAGTATGAACTTAACAATGTTAAAATTTACTACTATTCTCTACTCAAAATCCCCGAGTCCGACCACAGTTACATCCCCAGCTGTGTAACTGCTGGTTGATTACATAAGCAAAAAAGTATGCATAATTAATAACCATTTTTAACCGGCGAAAACATTGATAAAATTACATTCTAAATAGGACATAATTGGAAATACGAGAGGATTATTCAAGTTAATTTTGTCAATTCAAATATTTACCGATCACAACTTATAAATAAATATTACTTACTGCTTTCATCAGATTGTCAGAAGTGGCACAGCGTCCCGTTCCTGACTTTACATATGCTGATACGTGCCGTCGGTATTGGTCCTTACAACTTTGATGTAGTCTTAATACAACCACTCATATACCAATTTTCTATATGAGGTTTAAACGTTTTTATATCGATTTCATTGTCATTTGCAGATAATTTGGCATTATCAACTCATTAGCAAAGTTAATCGCTAAAAGATGATGAGTATCTCTTTATTCTTGCTGAAACCTTTATTGAAATATTTTGGAGTTAGCACTTTTAACTTAACTATATATGTAATAGATCAAAGAAGTTTGAACTTCAACTGGAAACTTATGTAAAAAGCAATTGATTACCTTTAGTGGCATTATTACATTTGTGACGTTTAACACAGCCTCCTGATTTATGGTCTGGTGTTGTAATAGTCAAGGAAGCGAGGGTGTGAGTTAAGTCGTTTTTTTAGATTTTATACAATGAATGCATTGATTAGTATATAAACAGTTTCGATTGCTTACAATAGATATTGAATGCAATGGTTTGTTTGAATTTTGATACTTTTAACCGGAACAATTATAAGGAAATCTACATCATAAAAGCAAATATTCCATCATTCAAAATGACTGAGAACAGTATGCGACATAGTCATAAAATAATATCATACATATCGAGCTCGTGGCAGTATTCCTTTTAAGTTTATTGTGATTTAGTAATACACTGAATAATTTGACTGTGCATAAAATATAAAGAAAATATATTGTTGACCAAAATTATCAAATTATCTGCCCTTAACATCATACAGCACAAATTAACTTTAATCGTTTTGATTACCAAATAGGAAGACAAACATTAATTAACGTTGACTTACAAAATACATTGATGACTCCAGTTAGTCTGAAGTAGGTGGCGTCTGCGGAGTCTCTGATGGTTTCTTGTTGTAAGGCACACTTAACAACGATACCGTCGTCGTCCCTGGTCATGGGTATAGAGATGACACTACTGCCGGTGAAGGTACAGTCGGTACTAGGGGATGTCTATGTGGTAAAGTCTATGGTGGTACTACTGAACCTGGTCCATAAGAAGGTCCCTGCCGGCCGACCAACATTACCGGTACAAGGAAACGTCACCGTCTGTCCCTCCTCAACATTAGATGACGGCACCACTTCCACTTCATGAAATGATGTGGCCTTAGGCTGTGCTGTTAACAGTAAATTCAATGAAAGGTATCACTGACTTCACTTTCCTTAGTAAATCACATTTCCTTAACAAAAATACAAGAATCTTTGAAATTCATTTTTTAAGTGATAATTTGTTTGCATATTTTAATTCTAATAAGTGACATAATGAGCTATATTTTACAATATAAAACATGGTATTTAAAAACAGCTTATTTTTACACCTGTATTAACAAACCACACAAACCATTCCTGTTGCAATATCATGTATAATAAACTATCTTTATTATGTCCATTATTTATTACCTCGCACCTAAACAACTTATCTAAATGCACTCATTTATTTTTATTATTTTATCAAAATATCTATCTCGCTTTTTAACACAAAAAATGTTGCTGAACAAATGATGCACAGAAAATATGCTTAATTTAACAGCAATCATTTTAATTCCTTTATGCCGTAACGCAAAAAGAGTCAAGTTGTGATAAAAATCAGGGTTTCGGCCATTCTAGGTATAAAAAAATTATATAAGAAATAAACCGGCAAAACAAGGTTTAAATGTCTTCAGCACATAACAGTCATTATTAGATGATGAATACTGTGATTATATAAGGCAAAATATCATACCATTGACTGTAAGACTGGTGACGCTGGCAGGGCTTGGATTGATCTGTGCACCATTGTTTAATCCAATTACAGTATTTTGATATTTACGCTCATCACCACAAACCACACTTGTAAACCTGATCTTAGCTGTGAGGGAGAAATCTGTCGGGTTTGTTAGAACTACTCGTCCAAACACAAAAGGGTTGGTCAAATTGTTTAACGTTGCAGGACTCTGTAATGCTCCTGGAGGACTAAACCCTGCTATTTGTTCATATCTTCCAGCGTCGTTTGATGTCTCCCTTCTCCATGATATTGAAAAAACTGTATCAACAGATGCAAGACTATATGTACACACAAGTTCCACTTCATTGTCTCCCAAAAGTCCCACTCGGTTTACTGTCGTTGTGACAGAAATATCACATTGTATACCTGAAATGTTCAATACAATCCAGAGCTATGCTATTGATGGATTTATTTTAAAAAAAAAACGTATTGCATGTCGATTGGTCTAAACAACCCTACCACTTTGTATCAAGTATCAATTATCAAGTGGAATATATGAATAATGTAAGAATATGAATGTTTATGCCTAAGACTGTGAGCAATTTATTTTGCATGATAAGATCGTAATCATTTTAAGTATTGTTTACATTAGATTTAAATAAAATAATTTAAACTCAAGTTATCTTTTATGCCGTCGCGGAATGCATTTCTCGGTCTCTCCAAAGGACAAAAAACATAAACCATTTACAGTATTTACTACTCTTTTCAGAAAATGTAATAAGTCTTGTCTTATCAAGTTTTCATAGGGAAAGGAAACGATTTCTTTTTTTTCTTTTTCGTAGTTTTAAATATGAGGGAACACTGGCTACTTTAAATAGAGAAAATTGGATTCTAGCAATAAGAGAAACACAGCACCGTCATACAGTGTAACTTATATGATATACTCAGACAACTTTATAAGTTATATAAACCATAGGAAATCATTCAAAGATATGTATTTTAGTTTGCTATACAGTTTATGGTTTACTTAGGACTTTAAAATATTTGTTTCATGTGACATTTCATGTCGTCCTGTGATAATAAATCACACACTGTCGAATTTACTGCACTAAGACCACTTGAAAACTCTTACTGATAAAGGTTAACAACATGCTTTTCCACTACAACACGCCAGAATTGGTCCCAAAACAGAAGAACAATTTGCTTTATAAACGTCATATAGACTTAAGTTAGACAGTCAAATCTCATCTGTATTTAACCCAGACAAATAACAAAATAATATCCAGACTTTTCCGCTTTTTGTAATGAAGTATTTCTTTTTTTAATAAAACGTAATATATTAATGCATACATGGATCAATTCCGGTCAATTTTGACGGGTCAGTATCACAGTACAGTTCTCAACTCGAAGAAGAGTAGATTCCATATATCTTTTGAGTGTGAATAACACATTCATATTTACCTTTGAATATAAAGCAATACAACACGTTTGTGATCTTTCGTATCCGTTTAGTTCAATTATCATTTAAATTATAAAAGCCTTTTTATTCTTGACTCTAGTCAGGGATACAATCGGTCATTTATGTTTTGACAAACACTGTCCACGTATTATGAGAAAATGACATCTGGTCGTTATGCCTATATATAGATATATCAACATGAAATATGCAGTGTTTAAATTTGCCGAACAAAAACTTTCAGATTAATTCCATTAATTCAGGACAGCTATTGCCCGTTTTAAATTCCTGACGTGATGAAGTGTGGTT